TTCCAGAAATTTTGGGGGTATGTTGTACTCAGCTCAGTGAAAACATATGGAAACCTCCCAGAGAGGAATTGGGATAACCTCGAGGGGACTCTTGGGAGGGCAGGGAGGCACCTGACCTAGGGGCTGGACTGGAGGACACAGGGGGTTGGGTCAAGATGAGGGGAAAAAGATTCACATTTTCTGAAAGTTGCATCTGCTCTTTGTGCCAAGGGCCATCCTCAGCACTCAACACGCATCATCTCTTCTAGCTCTTATGGTGACAAAAGGGAAACTGAGGCCCAGCAAGGCCAAGTGACTTATGCAGTTGGTGAAGAAAGTGATGTGTGCCCTTTACACCAGAAACCTTGTTAAAGCCATGACTCTAGGATTGCCCCCAAACCACATGATGAGACAGTTTTGTACAAGTGAATGCAGTACAGTGGGTGAGGCAGGGGAAGCTCGGTGTGTTTGCAGGGCAGACAGGACAGAAGTGAGTTTTGCTTTGTGGGATCTGAGAAGAACTCAAGATGAATGTGACTTAGGAGCTGGGCCTTAGAGTAGAAGTTCACTTTGGTTGGCCTAGGAAGAGAAAGGGCATTTCTCTGAGCCCAAACACAAAGATGGCCCATGCGGGGCCTTCCGGGGAGCATTTAGCATCTGGTGGGGCTGCCCTGGACAGTGCAGTGGGAACGAGTCAAGCAGTGACCTGGCTAAAAATGTGAAGATTCTCTTCTGTCACCTTCTCTGCTGAGCACCTACTTTTATCACCTGTCCTGTGACCAAGCAGAGCAGGATTTAAAACCACTAGGACCTCTTCCTTGCCAAGTGATTTTGCTTGTACCTTTTGTATTTTTGGCCTTTATCTGAGGAACTGTGCCCTGTGACTTGCTTTCAGGTTTCCCTAGTAATGCAGAGTGCCCTAGGCTCTCTACCCACCTCCAAATTCTTCAACCCACAGGTCTGTATTGAGATGAACTCACCTCTTGGAGCAGAATATTATCCTCTTGTCAATTTGGCAAGGCCATTTCATCCAAGGGTTAATTTGCTGTGGCCTTTATGATATTGCCCTGAGCTTCCCTGCAGCCCTGGTGAGGCTCACAGATGGGCTTAATGGGGAGGGGACAGTGAGAGAGCTGTCAGAGCTGGGTAGGGGACAAAGATGGGTTAGGGATGCAGCAGCTACCAGGATGTGTGCTGGCTATGGCATCATCTTTGAAATTCCAGGCTTCATGCCTTAGGCTAAGTCACCATGGCCTTCTGTTGGGACGGCTTCTTTAAAGCCTATGTGGTCGCGTTGCCTCTGTGTGGGCATCCTGTGACCATTTCCTGTGATAACACTATTTTTTTTTCACTTGTACTCTGGTTGCTGTGTCATCAAGTTCATCTACCAATTTAGGAAACTCTAACATGAAAATGTCATTTTAAAGCATGACGTTCAACAGATACCAAAGCCTGAAACCCTTCCCACGGGTTGTAGCTCTAACGATCCATTTCTCACACACACCCTTGGGAAGGAACGTGGCTCATCGGTACCAGGGTGTTGTCTTTGAGCTTCTGGAAGAAAGCAATGACTAACTAACCAGATACTTCCCTCCAATGAGGCCACTCCTGGTTCATTCCAGCTCTCCAGCCCTGGAGAAAATGCTACATCCACCAGTGAGAAATGATGAGCCCCTGTCCTTGAGGATCTATGGAATAAGTATAATTCTGTAAAGCAGAATTAATTGTGTCATGTGTTCCACAACCCCATTTTGTATCTCTTTTTGCCTCCCCCATATCTGAACTGCACATATTCAGTTTTGAAGCAGCTTGAAGCAATGGCAGAAAAAAACAGGTTTCTGGACAGACCTGAGACCTGATATTTGGGCCCATCTCACAGGTTTGCTGAGTCTCAGTTTCCTCTTCTGCAAAATAGTAACTATCCATACTCCACAGAGTGATCGGGAGGGTGAGATGAGACAATGCAAGTCAAGCCCTTAGGTCATGTCTGAACATTTGATTATGGCTCCAGATGAGTCATATTTCAGTAGGCCAAAATAAGGGAAATTAAGTGATGAGGAAAAAGGCAATGAGAGTTTTGCTCATTGCAAGCTGATCAGATCAGATCAGGACCCTGATGTCACCTACAAGAATCACACGTCAAAACTAATACTGGCAAGCAAACCCACGGTCAGAGGAGAACGGTCACAAAATTGTGGACGGTCTAGAAATGCAAATAAAGAATGTTTGAAAAAACTCAGATGTTAACCTGATTTTGTCCTGAGAAAAAACATGGGAGCACAGGAAAGCTGTCACAGATGACAGCAACTCGCACCATGAGGACTCAGAAGGAAGAACTGGATTCTGTGGGTGACCGAGAATGACAGATTACAGCTCAACATGTAAAAGAAGTTTCCTAAATTAATGATATTCATCAACCCAGAACAAAACCTCTCAGCCTAACAGTTTCCCTTACACCCCTGAGTCATGCATCTACAATTTTCTCTTGTATCCTCTCGATCAAAAGAAGGCATACATCCTTTCACTCAGTAAAAACATTCCTGAGTAGTTGTACATACATCCAAAGTGGATATGAATCATCCTTTATCATTAACTTATGTTAATCTGTTGAGAAGTCTCTACATAATTCCACTCAGTTCCTGGGACCAGGTTCTCTGCTGCCCAATGTTAATGTCTGTTGGTGGTGTCTACCCAAGAATATAACCAGCAATTGTTCCCTTTCTTCTGTGCATCAACAATATCCACCTTATTCTCAGTCATTCTGATTAAAATTATATACGATATATATTTTTCCATTCAAAAAATAAAATCCTCACTTGAGTCTACATCTTAAACTCCAGTTGTCATCCCTTTCTTTGTCCTTATTTACAGTTAAATTTTCAATGAGTGATCACCATTCACACTCCAAATGTTTTCCTGCTGTTCTCTGCTGGAATCACCCCATCATTCTGATCTCCCCACCAATCCACAGACACGGCTCCTGTGTCGTTCTCCAAGCCCCTCTATATTGCTAATTTAATACTCAATTCTCAGTCCATCTGGCTTGACTTATCAAGACTTAATACATTAGATCCCTGCCTCCTCCTAGTAACACTTTCTTCATTTCCGGAACAGCGCACTCTCTTTGTTTCCTTCTGCTGAACTTCTTTACGGTGGACTTGGTTTCCCCCTCCTCATTTTCAAGACATCTAAGCGAGCCTCAGACCCTGCATTTCCTCACCTGGACTTGCTTTCCAGGGGATCACAAACAGATGCATGGCCTCCTGTCCTTCCAGCCCTGCTCTGGCTATCTCAACTGTGCATGTCTAGCCAGGACCTCTCCCATGAACACTGACTTACAGGTTCACACGTAGGCCGATTTGGTATCTCCACTTGGAGGCTGAGGGGTTTTTCTAATGTGATATATCTAATAATGTACTTTCTGCTCTTTTTCACACTCCCACCCAATCCGTGCCTACTATAACCTCTTCATTTCAATTAATAGTGACTTTATTTTTCTAGTTGGCCAGGTCAAAAACTGCAGAGCCATCCTCTGTCTTTTCTCTCAACCTTCAGATATTCTCTGCTTTAGTATTTTTTGATCTGGGGTATCAGTCTTCTTCTACACTTGGACTGGAACTTACATCATCTGCTCTTTTGGTCCTCAGGCTTGTGAACTTGGACGTGAACTTCTGCCACTGGTTCTGCTGATCCTCAGACCTTCAGACTCACGTTGGAAGTGTACCACTGGCTCTCTGGAGCCTCCAGCTTGCACGGCAGATCATGGGACTTCTCAGTATCCATAACCATGTGAGCCCATCCCTCGTCATAAATCTCTTCAGGTGCCTAGATAGAGAGATCCCACTGGTTCTGTTTTTCTGGAGAAACCTGATTAATATAGAAAATTCTGTTGCTGCCTTCTTCTTCACAATCTTTCAAACCTAGATTCTGACCATTTCCGACCACTTCCACTCCTCGACCCAAGCCATCGTGGTCTCTCTGGATTGTTGCAACTACTCCTCACTGTTTTCCTTACACAGGAAGCAAAAATGTTCACTTACTGCACTGTGAGAGTGATTTTAAAAAGTAAATCAGATCACCTAATTCCTCAGCACAAAGCCTCCAAGAGGTTCCCATCATTCAAAGTAAAAGCGAAATATGTGAGATCGATCCGTAAGTCCCTACATGCACTGCCCCATGACCTCTCTCACGCCCCCCGGCCCCTTCCGCACCCTTCTGCAGCCACGCTGACCCCTGCTGTTGTATAGACACCTAAGAATGCTGTTCGGGCTTTACATGGACTCTTCCTTCCACCAGGGTAGCTGTTCTCTCCCATATTTTCATGGCTGGTTCTTCACCTCTTGAACTCTGTACTCAAAAGTTATTCATGCCTTCCCTGAACACCTTTTGAAAACAGACACACCTTTCCATGCCCCGGGACTCACCAGTTCACTTCCCTGCCTTGTTTTTATTCACACCATTGGACACCATCTGGCATATTTTTAAAAAAATGTATCTGTCTCTTTCCCATTAGATTATAAACTCCGTGAAGAAGGGATATTTTTCCTTTTGTTCTCTACTTCATCTCTTGTACCTAGAATAGGGCTAGATTAGAATAGGGACCACAGATCACTGTGGGCCACACCGAGGGGAAAGGCGAAAGGGCAATTGTGGGAGCCCGGTGGAAGCTGAAGCTGTAAGAGAGTTTCCCAAAGGCACCGCTGTATCCCAAGGGAGACATGGTCATTATCGAGCTGCTGGGCAGAGAGACAAGCACAGGAAAAACACCCTGCACTTCTCTTTCCTCTTACCTCCGTTTTCTTGCTAGTGCAGCCAACTGACCAAATCTAATTAGAAGTCAGAAGATAAGGAACACATTTGATTTAGGGCACACAAGACAGTTTCCCAGAATACCTGCCAGAGTGGACAGGGGTGGAGAGTGAAGCCAGAGGGGTAACCAGAACATACCCCAAACAGGCAATAGGCGGTGAAGCAGAAAGGGAAACAGGGCCTTTATTTAAATTATAGAACTCATTACTCACTGGATTTTCTTCACCTGAATGCATTCCAGGTGCTCCTGTGATGACGAAGAGGACTTGGCAGGGACGTATTGATCCAGGGGTGTTTGTTTCTCTGCTTTCATTTTCCTTCCATCAGTGGCCTTCCAGCAAGAATGAATTTGGAGAATATGCATTTGACTTGGAACACTTACTCCAAAAGGAACTGTTGATGGCTTGCCTAAGTGCACACAGTGCAATAAGTAAAAGCCCAGATAGGCACTGGAAATATATGTTATATTACATAGAGAAGTGCCGGGAAAGGGAAGCCCTTTACTGAACTTCTGGGCATTTCCAAAGAGTAAAGATTCAGTTAACACTTGAGTTTTGTTTCACTGTCTTTCCAAATAACATCAACCCTGAACATGAATCTCACAACCCCTAAGCATTTTTATTGAGCATACAATCACCTGGGATGTCAAAGCTCACACCCTTGGCCCTAACTATCTGAGCTGAGGCCTGGGGTCATAGCTGAGCCTTCTGTGGCCACATCTTATTGGCAACTCACACTCAATGAGCCCCATCTGAGGATAATCTGCTAACCTAAACCAAATCCTACACCTAAATTAAATTGTTTAAATTACAGTAAGACTCAACATTTGTACAGCCTCACATTCCCCTCAATAAATGATTTTTGAACATATGTTATTGCTGGTAGGCATTTGGTACTCAAGGTCATATTTTTTAATCTAAAAGTTGTAGGAATTTCTAACTATTCTTCTAGAGTTGAGTATTCACTGAGTTCTGTTCATTTTACAGCTAAAATCAGCATACAACAAGCTTAAAGCGGACAAAAAAGTCTGAAACATTGTTGGGGGACTCAGTCCCCCACTTTCTAATTGGTAAACCTGGTAAGTCACAAACTTCTCCGGATTTCATTTCTCATCTGTAAAATGAGAATAATAATACAAGCAATTAATTTATCGTGTTTTTACATGAAGATTAAATAAATTAATATCTGAAATGCTTAGAGAAGCACCAGATACAGAGTAAGCACTATTTAAGGGTTTGTTGACTAGAATATCTGAATTCCACTGATCCTTCAAACCTGAGAAAGGGCAATACAACTGTGTTGTTAAAAAGCAATGAGTTTTGATGTTGAGACAACAACTATGGATTTAGAGTTGCCAAATTTTCCAAATAACTTGATTATGAGTATGTTTGTACAATGATTACAATAGACAAAAAAAAATAGATTATCTTTTCATCTGAAATTCAAATTTAACTGAATGTCTTGCATTTTGTCTGGCAACCTTACCTGCACTGGAGAAATAGCTGTCGCAAATATAAGTAGACCCCAAGTGTGGGTTTCAACCAGGCTGAATATTAGAATGTCTTGTACAGCCTTTACAGATCCCAGTGCCCAAACCCAGTGATGTAATGATAATAACCATTATCTCTGGGGGTAGGACCCAGGCATGACTATGTCTCAGGGTCGTCAGGTGGTCCCCAATGTGTAGGTAGTAACTCAACCACTGGTTGTCTAACTATATTGTGTATAAGAATCACCCAGGGAACTTATAAAGATGAAAAGTCTTGGTTCATCGTGAGAGATTCTGATTCAGTAGGATTGGAGGGGGAGTCAAGGTCTTCTGCCAACAAACATCCCAGGTGACTTTGATGAAAGATCTATGACTCACGCTGTGAGAAACCTAGACTTCACCTTTCTGAACCTGTGGCAACAATATTAAATATTGTGAAACTCCTTGTGCAAGTTTTATAAGGATCATGTGACTTATGTATCCATGCTGTGAAAATTTAACACAAATTGCTAAAAATATACTCAATGGATTCTTTCTCTTCCTTCCTAAGTTCTACCATTTCCTGAATTTTTTCTTGATTTCTTTAGCTGTTTTGAGCCCTATCTTTCACCCCTTCCTCCCCGTATGATCAAGAGTTTATAGCATATAACTTAGTTCCCGTTAAACATCATCTTAGTTTGTTCTAATTTCAGGGGTGCTAATCTTGTCTTCCCAATGGTCCTGAGTTTTCTACTTATGGGTTGAGGTAACAAGAATCACTCTCTTTTTCTGTTCCATCATCCAGTGAGCTGGAAAGCTTGGTATTTTTATCTCCATTGTCCAAGACAATGCCATGTCTCCATGCCGTTCCCTTGGGAATTTAGGTCTCAGAGAGCTTTCATGACAGAGGCAAACACACGAAATCCTGTGCCTTTCTGACTCCAGGCCAGATACACTTTCCGTAGCACCTCCCACCCCTCCTGAAAACAAACCTGAGGCCGATCCTGTTTCCCTAAACCTCTGGTGGCCCGACGCCTTCCAGCCCACTCGGTACACGCGCCAGGCCAGCAGCACATTCCCACGGACTGAACGACCCACACATGGAAAACACGCTGCGCACAGAAGAAAGACAGTTTCTTCCTCTTCGTTGATTCTTGGCGCCAGCACTTTCACAGTTCCGGCTTGGAGGGACATGACTCCAAGCAGGCGGGCATCCGTCCTTCTATCCCAGGGCCACCTGGGGCTTGCCTGAGTGGCCCAGGCCTACTGGGTTTGAGAGTCAGGAAGTTATTGGCTGCAAGGTCGACTGGGCCCAGCTTAGAAAAACAGCTCACATTGTTCTGACCACAGGGAACGGTACCTACACATATCCAAAGGCTTCTCAGAGAAACAATAGCAGCACTTGCCACCCCTCCCCCTCCCCCTCCAAACAGACACGGCTTCCCACAGGACAGGCAACTAACTAAAATGTTTTGGTTGATGTGAGGAATATTTAATAAGTGAAGCAGCCTGGATTCTATGTGTGGTTTTCATTTTCCCAGAGGTCTCTAGTCAGTGTGCATTGGAGACTGGCAAAAGCAGAGATTTCAGAGTTTGAACCCCAGCTCTGCCATTTAATAGATAAAAGACTATGAGAAAGTATCTTAAGCTTCCTGAGTTTCTACAACCAAGCTGTACTCTAGAGGAAGTCAGTCCCTTACCCAGAAACTATAGTCCTGAGAAGTATATGTCTATTGCGCACCGTGAACGAGCACCAGTGGTCTGCCCAGGACCGTGACAGAGGGAAGCCCACAGAAGACCATGGGCTGCAGGTCTGAGATCCGTGAGGCCACCTATGGTGCCAACCCTGGCAAGATGAAGCTTGTTGGTACAGGCATGGACCCTTTTGACACACCTAACCAGCAGACTTCATTTCTAATAAGCCACCCGCTAAGTCATCTTGAGATGGCTGGAGAACGTGCAGGCATGCTTCGTCTACATTTGAGGTCACCTCTGTGTCACCAGGACACACCCTGAAACCGGAAGGATGCGAAATACATTGAATGTAGTGATCCGGACCTGGGAGGTTGTCTGCTGAAGGGTCTGGGCTCAGAGGAGATGAGCCTGGAACCATGGAAACTCAAGGAGAACAGCTTGGCAAATTATAAATCAAAACCAAGGTTGAGAGCTAGCTGATCTCTAGGGCAACTCTCTTATCTTCTCTGTATCACTTGATTTTATTATCTTAAATAAATAAACAATATTTGCTTCACCAGATGGTAGTTATAAAAAAAGGTAGGACATTTTCCTATAATCATTAAAGTTTCATCCAAATCTTTCTACTCTAGGAATATCACAGGCTGATTATGAATAGAGGTAGAATTCCTGCCAAGGTCTGAACAGGATTGATAATAAGACAGCAGAGTCTCAGTTTTCTCATCCCTAAATTAGTAATAAAATCACAATATTCACAATAAATATCAAATGAGATTGGTCATCGAAAACCAATTTGTAAACTGTAAAGGAGATAAGAATGTTAGTATTTAGGGTTTAAAAAAAAATTTTTTTTTTCTGTCTCCTGTCCAAATACCCAGAGACTAGGACAGACATTCTGGGTCAAAGAGGGTAATAGCTGTAGCTCTCAGAAACAGTCTGGGGCAGCCCAGTTGGGCAGGTGGTGGAGCTAATTAGAATTAGCATTAGGTAATGGAAGCAAGTCTTAACAAGCGGCATCAGGTAGCTTCCCACGCAAGCAGATTTAAGGCCGGTTTGGCGGTTAATCTTGAGAGCCAGGGACCCAGAGTCAGTTACATCAGCACGACCCAGGAGCCGTGTAATTAAGGGAACTCAGCTTGGTGCATTGTCATAATCACTTTAATTTATCCCTTTTGAAATATTTATTAAGTTTGCAATGTGTGTCAGGCAGTATGCTAGGCATTAGAAATAATAGCGGTAAGCGAGACCAAAAGTCCTTTCAACCTCACAGAACTAGCATAGGAAACATTAGGAAGACGCACACGCAAAATAACACGTGTGTTAAGATAAACATTTATTGTGGGTGAGTTTTGTCACTCAGTATTCTCTCCTGTAACCTTAGCCATTCCATGAAGTTTGGATGGACCTGATTCCCCCCATACCCCCAGGTTCATACATGAACTGGAGGCATGTTTGGTTTATGCATGTATACATTGCTTTTCTCCTGAATCCATTGAAATTTCTCTAGGATTACAAATTGCAGAGACAAGGACTGCTGGTTTCCCTCTCTCCTTCCATGCAGAGAAAGTCTGCCTCATAACGGAGCCAGTACCCAGAGGGAGCATTGCTGCAGATCGAAGGGAGAGGAAGAAACCTCAAGCTATTATCTGAGCCCCCAGATCGAGCAGGGCCTGGAGCCAGAGAACCTCAGGGCATTTCTCCTAAAGTAGTTGGAACTGGGTTTCTTTTTAGGAAACAAAAAGAGATCTAATGACTAGAGTTGTCATGGAGAAAGCACAAGGTTCTGGGGGAACAAAGATTGTCTAGGGGCTGGAAGGTACCAAAGAGAGTAACCTATGAGAAGAAGGCTAGTTTCCTGGGAAAGGAGGTGACAGAACAGTGCAGATCCAGATCTGAGACAGGGCATGGGAGGTCAAGGACCTTAAAAATTGTCACTGTGGCTAGAACCAAAGTTGCATGTAGTGTATGCACATGTGTGCATGTGGGGCCTGGGGGAAGAACAAGGACCTTATGAGAATTGACCCCCATCCTGGTCACTTCATGGCCTCCAGCATGTCACCATTTCTTTCATCTGTGAATTAGGAAGCTTCATACATAACTCACAGGGATGGTGTGAGGTTTAAATAAGATTAATAAGGTCAGATGTGTGAAAGCACCCATCTACTTAAGGGACAGGCAAAGAGCCTGAAGCCCCTCTTGGTGCCATTGGCACTGGTTGCCAAATTATCTGTGCACGGGGCACACATGTGCCTGGATGTGGGCACCAGCTCTCTGAGCTGCCTCTGCTCACTAGAAGAGACCCTGAGAAGCTCCCCTAGGGTCTCTCCAGCATAGAAAGAGAGCATCTGAGCTGACCTCCTGGCTCAGGCCAGGCACCAGGCAATCCGGACTGCAGACCAGAAGCCCAGCATCTGTGGAGCAGGTGTGTCAGTCACTCATCAGATTGAGGTACACAGAGCCTGTAAAGGAAGGCTGGCCACCGATGGCTCCAAACGGATTTCCTGCATCCACAATACCAGGACATCACACCATTCTCATTTCCTTTAACCAGGGCAAGTGCCACTTCCTTCTGGAGCATGATAGCCTACTTCACGTATCAGATAATGAAACTGATTTAAGTCTTTAGCACAGCGCCTCCCGTACTCTAAGCAAGTAATACAAGTGAACTCTTACTAGTCTGTGACAATTACACAAAAGGACAATTTCAAAATTTCTGAAGCAACATGCAAATAGAAGGGCTAAATGCAAAAAAATTCAGTAGCTCAGCTCTTATTTACTGAGTGTCTAATGTATGCCAGGTCCATTTCTAGGCACTTGCAAACTGGCTGAATATAATTATAGCAGGTCCATGTATATGGCAAGAAGAATAAGCCAATAAAAGCAACATCCCTGTATTTACAGGTCTCATCTCCTGCTGGGAAAGATGGACAGCAGAACATAAATAAATAAATGCACAACATAGTTTCCGTTGGAGGTATGTGCTATGAGGAAAAATAAGCCAGAGCAAAATTACTGAGAGTGACAGGAGGCCACCTGGGGGAATCTCTTTTAGAAATGGCTGTCAAAGAAGGTCTCTGAGCAGGTGGAAAATCTGAATGAGGCAAGGGTGTGAGCTCCACAGAGGTTGGCATAAAGAGAATTCACAGAACCGAGAGAAAACGCAAAGATCCTGAGACTGGAATAGTCTTGATGGGCTGGAGGGACTTGAATATTAGCAAAAGAGGTGGGGAAAGGCAGTCAGATTTGCCCTGTATTTTGAAGGTTGAACTAACAAACCTTGCAAGTAGATTGGTAGTATCACATGAGGAAAAGATAAATGGAGAGAATGAAGTGGGTGTTTTCCACAAGGAGGACATAATTAGAGGAGGACACATTTTGAAATGTCAGGGTTGCGGGTTTTATTCTGCACATGGCAGGGTTGACATGCTTATTAGACGTCAAGGGGAGATACCGAGCCTGAAGCCCAAGGAAAGATGAGAGTTCAAGTCACTGACACACGTAGGCCTGTAAGACAGTGGGCGTGGGTCAGGTGCCCAAGGGAGAAGGTCTAGAGAGAAAAGAGGGCTGGCCATGGAGCCTGGAGATACTAGGGTTTTGAAAGGGGGAAGATGAAGAAAAACAATGAAAGAAAATGGCATAGCAACCAGAAAGGGGGGAAGAAGCAAGGGTGTGAGATCCTGAAGGCCGAGGGATGAATATTGTAAAGACCAGTTAAGTGTGTTCTACGCTGCTGAGACGCTGACTCTGAAGAGAGCCGGGGAACTGACCTTTGTATTTGGCAAGATGGGGACCATTAATGTCTTTTGCAAGAGTGGCTTCAGACAACAGTGGTGGTGAGGGAAGGATAGAACAGGAAGTGAATGGACACAGCAAATAAATGTGTGGGAGAACCTTTGCTCTAAGAGAAAGCAGACAAATAGAGCAGCGGCTGGAGGAAGTTGGAAAAGGCAAAGCTGGTTTAGGGGGTATTTTGCTTTTTAAGATAAGAGATCTGTAGCATATTAATAACCCAGTAAGCAAGGATAAATCATGATAAAGGGAGACAGGACATAATTTCGACAGGAGATAATTTCAGCAGGAAAAAATGTCCTTGAATAGCAAAAGCAAACGGAGCCCTGTGGGCAAGTCATAGCCTGGACCACTGACAGGATCCGGGGCAGCTCGTGTCCGGACAGGGGCAGAGGGTGTGAGAGTGTGGATGACTTCACGTAAACTGAGTTTTACTCTAGCTCCTGGATCCGAGCGGCTATCCGTATATGTCAGTTTCCTTTCATTGTCTAGGTGCAAGTAGATTCTCCTGAGTTCTCTAACTCTGCCCACAGAACTCACAGCAAATAGCTAGAATTAGAAACTTGTTCTGAAACAGTGAAATTGGTACT